TCCCTTCCCTTCCCTCTCTCCTCCCTCCCTCCCTCAACTTTCCTTTCCTTTCCTTTCCTTTCCTTTCCTTTCCTTTCCTTTCCTTTCCTTTCCTTTCCTTTCCTTCCCTTCCCTTCCCTTCCCTTCCCTTCCCTTCCCTTCCCTTCCCTTCCCTTCCCTTGGTCCCATTTCATTTCAAATGCACAGATACACACTGAGACAATATTTTTTTAAAAAAACTGTACAACTGTAATATGTGTTAATTGTACAGACAGTTTGAAAAAGAAGTGAACTGATTTTAGGCTAAAGGAGAGTTCTGTAGAGTAATAAAGATGGTATAGAAGCTGCCTGTTTGTGATGTTTTATGTTTGCTTTTGATTAATTATAATAAATAATCTTGTGATTATTTTGTAGGGCTTTTTTTACTTGTTTTGTTTTTTGCTGTTTTTATGTTACTCTATTGTTGTGAGCCACTCGGGGTCAGTTGGAGCTAGGTGGCACCTAAATTAAATATTAATTAATTAAATAATTAAATAACCACTATAATGCAGCTGCCTGATTATTAAGAAAGTGGCTAAATAATTTCATATAATATTTGCCCTCATAGTGCTATACTGGTTCCCTGTGGGTTGCTGAGCCCATTTTAAGGCATTGGGACTTTCTTTAAAGTTCTCAATGGCAGAGAGCCAGATACTGAAAAGGTCAGCTCTCCCCTAGGACCATCCAACCTGTGCATTAAGATGAGCTGGGGACGCCCTAGCTGTGGTCCTATCAGTTCATTATGCAGTGATCAGGGATAAGGGCCTTCTCAGTGGCCAAGCTCCAGTCATGGCTCTCTCTCTCCAAGGGTATTTGGCTGGTCCTTGCACATGTTTCTTTCAAAAATCAATTAAAGGCATGGCTACGCACACCAAGTTTTGTGGGATAGCAACTACTTCAGGATCAGACTGTCTTTTGCCTTGTTACTTATTTCAGTTTCTGTTTTCAAAAAGGATTTCCTTTATCTTTGCTGCTTATAAGCAATACTGGGTTACTTATTATTTTGTAAACAATCTGGACTCTCTGGGAGGGAGAATAGTTACGGGAATGAAATGAAATAAAACGTTACATACTCCACTATAGCATAAATTGGTCCAGTCAGGGTAACAGCAAGATCGTCTAAGAGAAAAATTGTTTTAAAGGTTCCAGAAGAAAATGTATCACTCTTATTTCCTCTCTTAGGTTGGAATGAACTGCTGATTGCCTCTTTTTCCCATCGCTCTGTTTCTGTGCAGGACGGTATTCTACTGGCCACCGGCCTACATGTGCACCGGAGCAGCGCACACAGCGCTGGGGTGGGCTCCATTTTTGACAGGCATGTTTTTATTCTTAGTCCCGACATTTGCACTTTTCGAGATGACCTCTGACTGAATTTTGGTAGAATAAGAAAACCTTAAATAGGAATAATGCACTTCTAAAATCTGTAGGAAAGGAAAGGCTGCTTGGATTTGTGCAGGGAGACACCGATGAAACTTCTCTGCTCTAATTTTTCCCCTTCAAAAGCGTTTCTGATTTGCAGAAATAGCCTTGGGACTCACTTACATGCCAATATACAGTATATCATGTTGTTAGTTCCCCAGTTTTGCATATTATTCTGCAGCTTCTTATAGATGGCTGGCCTCTAGCACTAATTGTTGTTTGCTCTTCTACTGTAAGGGACAAAGGAAATAAAAATTGGTTTTTTAAACTGATGTTGACATTTTTGACCGACTATGCATTTTTTTCTTACTATGTCCCAAGTGTATGAGTGGAAATGATCCAGCTGCTGTGAATGGGAAAGAATGAATTTAAATTCTTTCTATTTACTGCCCATCAGCTGTGCCCTTGGGCAAAAGCCCCAGCTTAGGAATCCCAGCTAGATTCTAGTGCCGTGTACTGTTTGCTGGATATTCATATATTTAACAAGACATACGTAAATACAAGTAAACACTATTGGACACTTAATGAAAATATTAGTGGTCACTTTATTAAAACTGATTAACAAAAACATAGGCTGAGATCTTATTTCCTATGCAAGGTAATACTTATATATTGCCAGGTTACAAATAGCTACCAACAAAAGACAAATAGTGCACATTTAGATCACCCCTCCAGTTATGACTAGAGATGTCCAATCCTGACTAAGTCTCAATAGATATTTATAGCCCCAAAGTAGCCAATTCAGAGTACATCCTTCCATTTTCTAAAATGTGTACTGATAAGGGCATATTTGAATTGCATGACCTACTCCTCTATCATTAGGAGACAATTTAAAACAGTAATGGATATGGTTAAGGAAAAGTGATTCCTCTTTCTGATGAATGGAATATGTAGACCTAAAGAAGACATGGGAACATTTCACTTCCCACCTGTGTAACTTAGGTGACTGGTACTACATTGTAAGAAAGAGGAAACATAGATGCACAGGCATATTCTTTTTTCCAGCTATAAATGGAGCCACAAATGAAAAACTGTTATGGAGTGTTAATCTTTTTGATCTGTTTGAGCAACATAGTGGTACAGAGAAGAAATAATTTTTCAAAAGAGTGGGTTTTAGTTGAAGCAGATAATTCTGCTGGTACCTGCCTCCCAAGACATACAAGGGTTTAGTATACCACTGCGTATCTTGAAATCCCACTGTCTGAAAAAGGATAAAAGACCAGAACTGAACATCCATTTCTGTGAAGATTATACTATTCCCCTCTTTAAAAAATTCAGATTTTTTGCAACCTGAAAATAGATGGGAGAACTACAGCAAAAGTACCGTAAGACTCTAATTGATTACAGTGTTGTGTTGATGCTCCATCAAAGCAAAAAACAAAAACCTGGTAATGCCACACTTCTTAGAGTAGAAGCACAAGTAATGCATACTATGTAAGTCGATTCCTTCAATGCCTTTCTCCCTTGTCTCTGTATGCAGGGTTCTTACTGAGCTGGTATCCAAAATGAAAGACATGCAGATGGACAAATCTGAACTGGGGTGTCTGCGAGCCATTGTCCTGTTCAATCCAGGTTAAGTAATGATGCCTGGGGAGGCTTCCATCTTCCTTAGGCATTTCTCATGCCTCTCTGTACACGGCCAGTTTAGCCACTGACTATTATCCTGGATTCTGAGTAGCAGGGAGTATTTTTTTCTGGTGACAGACGGCTTTTCATAGCTGACTTCTCTTTGTCCTATTCTTTCAATTGGCTTTCAATACTTGCCACTATCATGTTGCATTCACTGAGGCAGCAATGATCTACGAGAGGCAGTGGAGGAAGATATGTGTGGAGGATGAGATTCAGAGAAGGAACAGAAATGGTGTGCTACGTGAAGAAGAATAACTGAACAGCAATGGGGGTGGCAGGAGAAAAAGAGTTTAGTGAAAAGGGCTTGGTCTTCACAATATAGAAGGGAAAAATGGGACTCTTGAGGCCATCCGATTGCTTAGTATTGGCCATGTAACTGTTTCCTCAAGTTGTAACAGTAACTATGCCATTGTGTTATGAACAGCTACGTGCCTTCTCATAGACTTCTTAGAGTAGGTAATTAAATTTATTTATAGTTCATAAAACTGTTAGATTGTCCTCAGATAACACATAATTTAAGAATTAGTATGACTGTTTCTGATGATATAACTACTTGTCCTAAATGGTGCAGCACTTTCATTCCTAAGGGTGATTGCAGTTGTTTGGTTCATTGGACGCTGCAGCCTATATTTCGGGGACTGAAATATTTGTCCCTCTTTTTAATTGTTTTTCTCCCCTCTATTGTCACTGCATCAGATGCCAAAGGCCTATCCAGTCCTGCAGAGGTGGAATTGCTACGTGAGAAAGTTTATGCTACCCTGGAGGCATACACAAAACAGAAATATCCTGAGCAACCTGGAAGGTAAATAGAAATTGCGTAGACCGCTTAATGCATAATGATGTTCAGATGTTACAGAATTTCACCAGTCATGGTGCTCTTGTCTCCTTAGCTGGAGCTTATATTGAACATCATGTTGAGCTATCTGGAAGAATTTTGAGTTATAAATGTAATCAATAAATACTTTTTTTTTTTTTCTGTGACTGAGCCTTCAACTCCAAAAGTGCAATATTTGACTTTGTATGCCACTGATATTTTAGGTAGCTTCAGACAACCAAAAGAGAAAAAGAAGGGAGGAGGGAAGACTGAGGGGTAGGTTAGGCTGAAGTAGAATCTGAGCTAAAATTGCCCAACTAGCTTCATGGCTAGCAGAGACTGAAACTCAGTTCTCCTTGATCAAATGTTAGAAGTCATATCAATCGTTTTTAAACATCCTTTTCCAATGCAAAATACATTGTTTCTCCTCCCTAGAATGTAAGTGTCTTAAATACACTGCAGATCTGCATTTTTTTTTTTTGTACATAGGAAAAATAGTTCTGAGACATTATACAGATAGATACATACTGCATTTCATTTGGGTTTCCATTGCTCAAGAAGGAGAATACTGTGAATAAATTAACAAGGTCATCCATAATGATTTTGAAGTTTGCCATGGGAGCCAGAGGCAATCTTTCTCAGAGTGATACAATATCTTTTTCAGCTGGAGTTGGCAACACAAACTTCCCTCCCTATTTACACCCCCCCCCAAAAGACTTTCTAAGGATATTACAGCGTACTTACCTTAATATAGTTCCATTTTACTCCTCCTTCTGCTCCTCCTGTTCTGATGGGTGGGAGTTTCTAAAGAAGGAGATCCTCAAAGCATAATCTCACAAGATGTTGGTAATCCTACTGTGCAAGATTTGAGCTGACAATGTCAATCTTACAACATTTTGGCTATACCATGAACTAAAAGCACAATCACAGACAATTCCAGAGAGAGAAAAACATGGAAAACAGCAGAAGAAGGCAATGTGATTAGACAAAAATCTTAGTGAAAAACTGAAAATAAAAAAAAGGATATATGGGAGGTGGAAATAGAAACAGGTCACCAAGAAAAAGTACAATTTGATAGCAAGAAATAATGGAGATGGTGCCAAGAAAGCTAAAGCTCAAAATGAGTTGAGTTTGGCAAAAGATGCTAAGAATAACAAAAAGGAATTAAAGGAAAAGATCCAGTACATCAGAATCTGCATTTTAAGGTATTGGAGAAACTTGCTCATATCTTGCTTGACCATTATCCATTACCTTTAAAAACCCTGGCTGATATACTGGATGATTGCAGGAGAACAAATGTTCCCATCTTCAAACAGGGGATGGAAAAAGAGGTTCCCAAAGAACTAAAGATCAGGCAGTTTGACCCCAAAGATTCAAGAGCAGACCAAAAAGCAATACATCTGTAAGTAAAACAATGCAGTGATTACTAGAAGTTGACATGGCTTTGTCAAGAACAAGTCTCACCAGACTAACCTAATCTCATTTTTTAACTTGACAAACCATCAGCAAATACATTCAGTAACCTAGGATGCAATTTAGCTGGCCCTAGAAACCTAAACTCATTCAAGGTCAGTAGATATTTCCTGACTATGCTGCTGCCAAGCTGAGACTCATATCCTGCACTTTTAATCAGCTTTTTGAAATGCCAAGTGAAACACATATCCTCTTCTCCAAGAAGACTAAACCAAACTAGGAGCTGCGTAATTTTACCTTTTCAGTGTTACCTGCTACTTTTTGCTATCTTCGCGGAGTAGCTAGCATACTGCTTCTTTTCTCTTGGTTTCATTTTGAACATATCAAAAGAGCGCTTGAGTTTTTCTTCACACGCTTCATTAACTTTCACTCATTTTGAGCCTGAACTTTCCTGAGACCGTCTCTGCAAATTTGGGCTACCTCCATGCGTGTTGCTTGGTGACCTTTTTCCCCTACCTATATATGTGTCTTTTTAAATCAGATGTTCACCAAATTTTTGGCAGAGACACACTGGCTTTTTTCGGCTGTCTATTGGATTTGAGAGGGATTTTGCTTTTAGCATCTTCATTTTAAGGAACTCTTTGGTCTCTTTTTCTTACTAACCTCTCATGCCACTGAGTCCTATATAAATGGGAAATGATTTAGAGCTGATTTGCATGACCAGGTTGCCCCAGTACAAGTACTGGCCTCTGGGCATTTCCCAAGAACAGGAATGCACAACGTCATCCTCTACCTGCCCCCAGTCCACCAGGAAGGCAATCTCTGCCCACCTTTCTATGCTACACAACAAAAGTATTTTTTCTGACTTGTGCTAGCTCAGGCAGTGCTGACCTGGGCTTCATTTCATTGTCAGCAAACCCTCTCCTCCAGCTGGTTCCTGCAAACTGTGGCAGAAATGCCCGCTCCTTCCAGTCAGTGGTCACTGCCCTTCCATGGCCAGGTTTTTTTAAACTATATACCCTCTCCTTGTTTAGCGACTGTAATCCATTCCTTAAATCATAAGCGACATGGTCACTAACTGAACCACATGATAGAGAGAGAGAGAGAGCGAGCGAGCGAGCGAGCAAAGATTGCTGGTTGCTGCCACCTCATTCAGATAAACTTCTCTTATGCAGCAACGCCAGCATTACTCTCACTCCAGTGAGAGTTGTTGTCAAGGGCAGAAATGTGGGCGTAAGTGCATGCATTGGTCAATTCTTTTAGTACCATTTACTACTGTTTATTAAACTGTTTAACAGTTGCTAAACAAGATAATCACTAAATGAGGAGTGGCTGTACATATAAGTTCACTGATAAAACAGTGAAAGACTGGTCTGGTTTAGTTTAGTTTTTTTTAAGTGAAATTGACAAGAATTCTGTCACTTTTTCCTTCCAGCTTGAGGGATAGGAAAAATGGTAAAACTGGTGTTTTCTGTTTGCTTTTTACCCATCCCACAGTGGTAAAGAATAGGTTGATCCACCAAACCAAGATCTTAATTAATTAGATTTATATTAATTAATTAGATTTATATGCTGCCTTTCAAGGCAGGATGCATAATGCTCCTGCCTCCTTTTTTCCCCTATAACAACAAGTCTATGACTGAGAGAAAATGACTGGCTCAACGACACCCAGACTTCCATGCCTAAGGGAGGACTAAAACTCACAGTCTCCTAGTTTCTAATCCAGCAATCCAGACAAAACATCAGGCCATCACTGGGGTCAACGCAGAACAATGGATTGAAATTCAGAAAGGGATTTCTGAAGTCAGCTTCATTTCAACCTGGCAGTGCAGTGCTGCTATGTGGAAAAGCCCTGAGAGATATTTTTAAATAAAATATAAAAATGGGGAAGGGTCTCTATGAAAGGAAGAGTATAAATGTGGCTTGTATTTGGATTAGTACTCAAGTGCCTTTGGCCTTGGAAAGTTATCTAGGAAAGAATACAGTTCTTAGCTTGAAAAAGAATCCCCATTCCTGAGTTGCATGACTTATTCCACAAGCTAACTTTGTAATTCTTATGCTATCCAATTCTGCCATCTGCTGGACAATATTTAGATGCACCAATAGAAGAGAATATTTAAATGTGGTGAAATGAAAAACAAAAGCATTTTCTGAATTATTTTAAAATCTCCTTTGTGTTTCATTTCTTTTTTGAGAAGCAGTGTGTTGTTTGTTTTTCCTGTAAGTAGTATTACTGTAGCTGTAAATGGGACAATATAACCATATAATTTCATGGTTTAAAATGTGTTGTAAACTGTGTTTTCAAGGTTTCCAACATAGAACCAGGGAAAATATTTTAAACAAACCCAGTGGAGTGGTTTACAAATTTATTCAAATCAAGAAAACTTCTACAAAACATCAAAAAACTTTTTAAAAAAAACATAGTAAACAAAAAAAAAAAACGTAGGAGAAACCCCCCCCCCCCAATAAACTGCATAGTTTAGGGTAGGGCTACCAGATTTTTACAGCTCAATCATTGTCCATGACATGTGGCAGGACCAAACTGAGGGACTCTAACACTCTCCCCTTCCATCTTGCTGGATCAGCAGCTGAGCATTTTTGTTTCTTTTTTTGCCAGAGAACTGTAGGACCATCAGAGTAAGAAAAACCAAGACCTGTTAGTAGCAATGGTGCTCCCAAGGAGATCAAAAGAGCTCCCTCCCACTTCGTCATGTTCTTCTCCCCTTGTATGCACCATCAAGCAGTCAGCTGAAAAATGTATGCTTTTTTTTGCCATAGGACTAGAGGATCATAGGATCATAAAAGTATATAGGCCAGTCTCCTGGAAGAATGATAGACCTATGGCTAAAAAAAATCTGTTTGACAAGTCTTCAGTGTGCAAACCAGGTGACTGGATAGGGAGGAGGGAGCGGGGCAGATCCCTGGCTTTGATTGTATCATCATCAGCCTCCTCCCCCACAAGCATCACATAGTTGTATGGCAAGACTTGTGTAGGGAGGAGTGGGGAAATGCTATTTTTTTACTTGGTGAGCTGCCCACAGTGAGTTGAAGTTGGGCAGTGGCAAAACTCAAATAAATAAATAAGATGCCACTTTAACCAGCAGAACAACTAAAGATGATTTTAGGGTTCCTCCACTGTAGGCTGGAGATGTGACAGAGATGAAGTCATGAGGACATCCCTTCAGATGAGACAAGTTGATGCAAAGGTTACATTGCCAACACAGAAAGTCTGACATCCATCCCTTTTAAAACATTCTGATGGATTAGTTTCATTTTTAAATCATAAGAAATATATTTCACAGTTTTTAATATCTGGACCTGTTGATTTTCTGAAATTACATAATTTCAGTTCTTTCTTCCACAGATCAGATATATAGATCATTTCATTTTTTAATACCTTATAAAATTGAATTCTTGGTTTCTATTCAAATGTAGCATCTTTTAAATAAACTAAAATTGCAGGTTCCTCAAAGGCAGCTTTGCCTGATGAAGGTGAGAAGTTACTTCTTTACATATTTTTTTTTCTTTACTATATTCTTACTTTTCTCTTTCTCTTGTTTCCTTTTTTCCTTTCTTTTCTGCACCTTCTACTCTTCCTTTTTATTCTTCTATCTTTTTTAGTTTGTATTAGTTTTTTACTGTTGTAATTATAATATTTGATAAAATTACTATTAAAAAAAGCAATGGCATCCAAAGGACACACAGTTTTAACAATGTCAGATATTTTAATGCTTGCATGCAGACTTCCACTGGCTTGTTCCAAATCCAGTTCAGAAAAGGTGGGTTCTCTTTTACCTTGGTGTTCTCAGCAGCTATTACAGGCTTTCCCTCTCTCTGGGTCTTTCAGGTTTGCTAAACTTCTCCTGAGGCTGCCTGCATTGAGATCTATTGGTCTGAAATGCCTGGAGCACCTCTTCTTCTTCAAGCTGATAGGTGACACTCCTATCGACACCTTTCTCATGGAGATGTTAGAGACGCCTCTGCAGATCACCTGATTAGGACAGGATGCCAACAGGAAAGTACAAATAATACCAGTGAAGAAGTTTTGTTCCTGGCCTGCCTGCTTCCACCCATTCCCACTCCCCTGACTTTCTGCATGGGATGACTTTCAGAAAGGAATAGGGACCCCTATAAATGTTTAGCTTTTAAAAAATGGAATGTTGTACATATGCAAACTTTTAAATGGCAGCTAGAAAGAGCAGGGCATCCTGTAGCTCATCAAAAACAAACTGTGGCACTTGTATAAATGATTGAGTTTAAATTATTTTTTCACTTCCCAAAAGATGAGAAATAAAATAATATATGAGCAATTGGTATGGAAGTCACTGCTGAGGTCCTTCTTACTGGGTATGCTGGACAGTGGAATCAGAGAACTCCTCCCATAACTTGTCGTTCATACTCTCGTATGTTTGAGTTCATATTTTACCCAGAATATATACACATGATAAGAAATGTGCAACAAAATGGATTTTGTTGAAATCAAAATTCCAAGATGGAGCAGGATAGTTTGGAATAGATTTCCATTTACTGAATCTATATGTTCTGAATCTGGGCCTGTTTTATTTTAGGTAGCGATATTACATACATGATGCTAGATTTCCTTTTGTTATTTTGCTGTGACAGTGTTAATAAATAACCTATTCAGCATGTTCCAGGTTCACACTGCAACATAACCTCACATAGAAATGAAATAGATTCCTCAAAGGGGCAATATTTCCACAATTACCTTGTACATATTCCTGCAGCTCCTGCTATATTTTGTTAAACAGTATGTGCAAGGAGGACAATGCCCAAATGTCCAAAATTATAGCAAACCTATCTGGAAGTATAGGGGTTTATTCAGTTCAAATTATCATTACATGGAATAACTCAAATCAGAACAGGAAGGTTGAGGTATTTGGCCTAAGAACAAACTTTGATGGTGTTGCTTCTATTCTCTTGTGCTGTCTGGCAAAAGCATTCTTAACATTTGGTTGAAAGTCTGCCAACCAAATCAGTCTTACATTACTCTTGGGACTTCTGGGGAAGCAATGGTAGACTGAAGACGTGGAGCTGACGGCTGCAGCAGAAAGAGGAGCTGGTGAATGGATCGGCTTCTCGGAACTCCTCTCCAGATTAAGGAGGGGACTAGAATCACCCACAAGTTTGCTCCATACAGAGGCTCCCTGTGAAGAGATTGTGAAATAGCTATCTCTGGAGGGTTTCAGAGCTCGGACTGGGGGGAAAATCATCTTGCCTAAGCCATGGTTCGGCATCTTCACAAGGACACTGGGTTCACCCAGTTCCTCTCTTAATCAACTTAGGAACTCGCTTGTTATTGACTTTTTGGATGTTAAGAACCTTCAGAAGGGCAAGTTTCATTACGCTGGGAAAGTTTCCTTCTATCCTTGATGAAAGAAGTTTCATGTAAGTTTAAGGATTAAAAAGAAAACTTTTGACTTTTGAAAAACAGCAAAAAGGGGACTAGAATGTTGATTTTGGAAAGTTAAGGGGCCAGATAGACTTGAAAGAATATTCCCTGTGGGTTGTTTAAAATTTTATAAAAATAGATATGAAGATTTTGAAATTAACTGTAAGAAATCCTCCCATGGGAAAGTTTTGTTGATTGAAAAATAAACATATATAAGAAGGGACTTTAAAGGTTGACTAGAGGGAACCAGAGAGAACTAAAGATTACAATTAAAGGAGAAGAGACCCGTTAATACAATGGAGCAATACTATTTGACTATAGAAGAAATCAAGGATTTTAGGAACAGTTTACCCAGAAATTACTCTTAAGGTTGCCTGCCACTAAAAAAATGGGATTTAATAGAGGCTACAGAAAAGGAATAGATTTTACTGGACAAAATAGAGACTGAGGCTGATCTGAACATGGATCTGAAAATGGATTTTAAAATGCCAGACTACAAGAATGATATGGAAAAAGATGCCACATTGGATTACAAATGAAACCAGCTTGTCTTAATAATTAAAGGAGACATACGAATCATAAATCAGAAGAGTGACTTGGAAAGCTTATTTATCTTGGATTTACAAAAGAGAAGAAGTTTCTGAGAGGAGACAAAAAGAAAATGATAAGAAATCAACTTGTGGGACATTATTTGAAGGAATTAAAGATCAAGCTTTTTAAAAGTAAATGGAAAAAATATAAAGTGGATTTATTTGACCAGTTAAAATATATATGTTGTGGTTTCTGGTAGTTATTAATGGAACTTTTTTTTTTAACCAGGACTGAATGACGAGGCTTTAAAGATTTGTTTACAGATAACAGATAAGATATGGGGAGAGATTTCTTTTGCTTTATTTTTTAGAAAAATTGATAAGTTGGAGCATAAAATGGATTGATTTGATTAAGGTGAAAATATATATGTTATTATTTCTGATTAGCTCTTAATGGACTTTTGCTGATTAGGACTGAATGACAAGTTTTTACAATTTGTTTATTGAAAATATAGTGGTTTCTGGTAGCTATTAATGGAATTTTTTTTTTTTTAAGCAGGACTAAATGACAAGGCATTAAAGATTTGTTCATAGACAACAGATAAGACATGGGGAGGTATTTCTTTTGCTTTATTTTTCAGAAAAAGTGATAAGTTGGAATACAAAATGGATTTATTTGATTAAGGTGAAAATATATATGCTATTATTTCTGATAGCTCTTAATGAACTTTTGCTGATTAAGACTGATAATTTTTTTCTATTTGTTTATTGATACGAGATGAGATATGGGAAGAAGAGTTTTTTTTTAAATTGAAATATTAGAGAAGGTGTTAAGTTACTGAAGTTGTTTATACTTGTCTGGAGAGAGGGGGGAGTCATTTCTTTATCTTTTTTTCTTCTCTTTTTTCTTTTTCTCTGTACCCTTTTACTTTTTTTCTTTACTTTATATATCCTTATTAGTTTGTATTACTCTTTTATCTTTGCATTTGTAAATGCTAATAAAAATTATTATAATTCTTACATTACTCCTATAAGACACCAGAGGGCTCCCACATGCAGAAGGATAACAGAAAATAAAGAATTGGGAATATGGGGAGTGGGGTAAGGAAGGAGAAGAGTTAAAATTTAAAAGCTAAAACTGCAAGGTGCTGGTCTCCATAAGAGCCATCAAATGAAGATGGCAAGTACTGGTTGTATGCATGCAGTTACGTTTTATACATTTTGGCCAACAAAAGGCATACACGTTTCTTATATTTCCTTATGTCCAGGTGTAACATTTCTTCTGCATTGTACTATTCCGGTGGGTTTTTTTTTTTAATAGCTTGTGGAATTGCTTCTTATAGTCCATCCAGTTCAGTCCTTTTCTACTTTTTATTTTTAAAAAGCTGTGGGTGGAAATTATTCCTTATTTGTATGAAGCATGAAACAGCCCAATCAGAAGAGTGACTATAAATCTAAAGTTTATATTATTTTGCACTTGAATTAAACATAGAACTAAGACACATCATACATCTCTGTGATCAAGTTACTCTACTCTTCAAGATAAACATAAAACATATAATGCAAATAAATGATTGTATGCAGGAAAATGTCATAATAATAAGCTGATATAAAAATTAACCCTAAATGGCTGAAGTGCTGTATCCCATAATTAGCTTTGGACCATCACCTCAAATCCATACCTTTCAGGAGATTACTCTAGATACGGTAAGACCATATCTCATCCAGCCAAAGCTTTCTTTACATGCACAGAGTGTACCATGCCTATCTTACTGAAAATAAGTAGGAATGCCTAAGTAGCTTAACTTCTGCAGCCCAAAATACTCTTATGCCAATTCCAACTCATATATCCACATATGCAGAAGCATAACCTTGGTGTGACACCACCTTTGTGCTCTCTGAAGATCATAAAACATCTGCATCAGGCCTTCAAAGTTTAATTACCTTCAATTTTTTTGTGAAGCTCAAACTTTTTCATTTTTCCTCTATAAGTACATTAATATCACTCCAAGTTTGATTTAGAATTTCCCAATAAATTTGGGTGTTTTTCCCCCCTGTTATTCATGGGAGATCTTTTGTTCAACCAATCAGTGGAGTATCTGATTTCATCTTTTGCACTGATAATTATACAGTTTTTTTTTTTTAACTTTTCTTAATGATTTGTGGAGTTCCTTCTGGTTTTCAACATATTCATTATTATTTTACTGCATTTACAGAAAGCACTGGACTAGATTTGATTCAGCTCCATGGCATAAATATTTCCCAATAAATTTGGGTGTTTTTCCCCCCTGTTATTCATGGGAGATCTTTTGTTCAACCAATCAGTGGAGTATCTGATTTCATCTTTTGCACTGATAATTATACAATTTTTTTTTTTTAACTTAATGATTTGTGGAGTTCCTTCTGGTTTTCAACATATTCATTATTATTTTACTGCATTTACAGAAAGCACTGGACTAGATTTGATTCAGCTCCATGGCATAAATTCATATAGTCTGTTCGTGTAAGACTATTATTTCTGCTGTTCCAAAGTATTTTGGGTGCAAAACCATAGCTATTTGTTTTTCTTTATTTTCTACAAAATTGTCATGCAGTGAAAGCCCAGTCAGTTTTAGGATAGACAAGATGTACGTGTCTTTCTGAACTGTTACAGAAGCCACATCCTTTTTAAAGTTCACATGGCTGCTTGGGAATCTGATTCCAGGCACCTCTGCCTGCTTGGGAATGCAGAAGGTTTGCTTCACTTCTTTCACTTTTTCTGCTGCAGACTAACAAAGCAATGTCTTAGCAGCTCTGGAATTCTCAAAAAGTTCTCAGCAGGAATATCTCCTTCTGGCCTAAAGAATGTTGAGAGAGTGGATAATTTATATCAGAATTTCTTCTCTACATATTTTTTAAAAATAATTTGCCTGAAATGTATCTGAAACTTAATTAAGAGGTGGAGACTGTTCTTTGGGCTATGGATACTGTATATTATATAGTCCCCTAAATATAAAAAAGAGATACAATATTTTGTGTACTATTAAAATTGGTTTCTATTGATGTAACTGCACTCATTAAGTTCTCTGAGAAACATTTAGGAATAGGATGCTCTCTATTTAGAAGAGTTTCTAAAAGTTCAAAACGTTTTGTTAATGGCACCCTGACTACCATTTCCATTCCATTACATAAGTGGGAAGAAATAAACAATTGTTTTAAAAACAGTTGTCTGTGGGTATAGATCAAAGTATACAAATTAACCATAAATAGGAGAGTAATGCAGATAGAATATTTGCACATTGCAACCACAAAGAAAAATAGCAAATTATGTCAAATTATGTTATGTTA